TACACCCCTGTGTCTTTGGCAAGAGCAAAAAATTTTAAAACTCTTAAAACAGCATCTCTCTAGAAGAAAGGAAAATTAAACAAATTCTGAAATTCGAAGCGTTTCTTCTATAGATTTTTGCCAAAAGAGCAGAAAATTCAGCTCTAAGGCCAATCCTCGTGCCAACTTTAGATGTATATATATTTGAAACAAACAAAAACACAAGAATATGTAAAAAAATTAAAAAACCAGAACAAAAAAGCAGGTTGATATAACTTTTTTTTAAGCAGCACACTATTAATGGCAAAGGCAGAAGTCAAGAAACTTTGGTTCTGGTCCTTGTAACCGTCCCTCCAGCTGGTTACTAGGACTAGGCATTTAATCTTCCAGGGCTTGTTTACTTCACTGATGAAATGACAGGGCTGGGAAGGCTGGTCTAAATATCTTTGCAACATTCTAAATTCTACTCAGTTTCGTTAAATGCATCTCTTCTAGGCAAAGTGTGGATATTTTTCCTTTATGACTCTTCACACGAAACATTATTCAAATACGTTCAAGAGTTGATGTCTTACTAAGAGTAAGCATGAGAAACAAGAAAGATTAATCTGTCTTGAACACAAAAACAAAGAAAGAAAAAGTGGGATGAAAATAAAACAAAGAGACCTCTACTTCAACATTTCTACAGAATATGGATCACTTTATATTTTGCACCCAGTTTTAAATTCTCTCCCTTAACCAGGGAACTGAAACAAGTAACAAGTCCCAAACAAGAAACCCTGCAGTCTTGGGCTGTGTTTGAGAGGGAGCACTGTGCCAAGCACAGAAGTGCTGGCTCTTCTGCTCGCAGGCCCTGAGACTACAGGAAAGCAGCTCAGGTGTTACACCCTGACCTACTGGACCTCAGACAGATCACTGAATGATCATGCAGAACTGCCATGGAATATTCCACATCAAGTGAAAACCAGGGTTAGGCCAAGTTGGGAAAATGATTTCAATATAATTTAGGTGAAAAATCAGGACGAAAAAACTACACGAACGCTATGGCCACATCTATACAAATTCAGTTGATGAAAATACAACAAAAATTTAAGTGATTTGTGTCATATGTCTCCTTTTTTCCACCTAAATTTTCTATAATTTTTTGCACATTGAAAATATTTAAAAACTGACCACTGGAGGAAAAAACTGAGCAAACCTCATTCTAATTTACATGATTCCTTTCTAACCCAGCACTGAGTTAAAATAACTGATCTTCCTCATTGCCTTTTTGTTTATATACAGAATTTTTTCCAAGTCAAAATTAAAAATATTTTTGGCTACCAATATTTTAAGTCTGTCTCTAAATAACTTGGGTAAAGAATTCAGAAATCAAGCTGGCAGAAATTGGGTCATTTTGTAAGATACAAGTTGCCAAACTTTTCCTGGAAAGTGGCCTACAGGCAATGCTTATTGCCAAGTTCCTCACCTTCCCCAACTGTAGCAATCTACCAGCATACTTTTTAGTTGCTGGCTAGGAACATTTTTGGCTTTGTAGGCAAAAGAGTTTCTGTCACAACTACTCAACTCTGCCACCATAAGCCAGCCACAGACACTATACAAATGGATGAGTGTGGCTACGTTTCAATAAAACTTATTTACAAAAACAGGCAGCAGGCCAGCTCTGGCCTTTGTGCAGTCATCTGTCAGTCTGTGGTATGGCACACTAGAGAACATCCTTGCAGCTTGGAGAGACAATGAAAAGACCCAAAGGACTGCTTCCTCCTTCACAGGGAACGACCATCAGACCTTACTTTGACAGCCATACCAATCTTCAAGACTTCTCTTTGAAAGTGGTATATTAATGAATTCCCCCCTGCAAAGTCAATGAATTGGTTCCTCAAATATAGCAGTTTTCAACCATGTTATTGAGACACACATAGCTATGTGGAATGTGTTGCATTTACTACTAATAATACAACACTGGTTTTCAAGTGATTTTAAAAAAATTTATAAAAGGGACAATCAGTCTTATCCCTTTAGCCAGCCTGGACCTGTACACAGCCCTGGATGTACCTGTAAGAGCGAAGAACTCATGTACAGACTGTCGAAGAGACTTCAAGCCCAGCCTTTTCCATCTCAAGATAACAAATCCACACTCTGGCTAACAGCTCAAACATGTCAGGTTTGGATCCGTTAAGAGTCTTAACATCAAAACATATATGAAGTCAAGGAAGATATATTTTCCTTTCATAAACTTTCATTGTTATCACAGAAAAACTTGAACATGCATGAAAGATGAAAGAAAAACTAAAAGCCCCAATACTATTAAGGGGAAATAACTACTATTATCGTTTTGGCTCCTTTCCCGTCAAATTCTTTCTCTGTGTATATCAGAAAAACAAAATGCTTTCAGTAAGATTTCTCTCTACTTTCTTCATGAAATATTATATTATAAGCACAATCCTATATTATGTCTCAAAATATGATTTTTAATATCTGTATTAAAAATCCATCAAATAGATGGACTATAAGTATTTAAGTTTCTGCCCTATTGTTGGATATTTATATCATCTATTTTTTATAATATTACATGAAAAGTTGAAAATAATCCCCTGGAAGCTTATGAAACTATTTAATATTTTATATTTATGTATTTGACAGCAAGTATTCCCTAAAACAGAGTAATACTCTGGAGCCCTTCAGATCAAGGCACATCAGAATACACATCAGTGACCGCAGGAAGAGGTACACACCTCAGGAGCGGGCACAGGAGCACTGGACCCACGACGAGAAAACAGGCCATCCTTGAAATTCTTTACTAGAGGCAGATGAGGCAGTAGAGTTAACAAACATGACAAGTGGGGCCCAAGTGAGATGGTACCACAGGACTGAGCCTTGATTGCTCTCTTTTAACACCCAACAGAGGAAAATTGTTTTGACTTGACTGCTATTATTAAAATTGTGCAGGACAGAGGATGTTAAAAAGCTGGTGGCAGATGTTTCATTTATAGCATATAGTAAATTTGTGAGATATTCCCTTTGACATAGAAGGTCAACTGATTGGTCTTTTTCCCCTGGGCAAATGAAAGACAGCTGTCTGCTGAGTGTTTTCTTCACAGGGCATGATGGGGCAGAATGTCAAAAACAACACACGTGAATGTCAGCCTGGGAGCAGCAGCAGCATGATGTTTCCAATAGTGGCCAAGGGCTATGAAACCTCTAGAGCCTTAAGGAGTAGAATCCACCTGTGTTTCCCTTTATCTAGCTGCCAATCAGAAAACTAAAACAAATTATTAATCTAATTCATAGTTTATAACACTAGAAACTTTCCCTCATAAATTGTCTGCTCTGAAACAAGCCAAACAGGAACATGAGATAACTCAGTGGAGAGAGGGAATCACAGTGGCCCTCTTGAGCTATGTACTTTTTAAAAGTTCCATGAAATAATGCCATTTACAGTAATACAGATGGATATAGAGATTATATACTAAGTGAAGTAAGTCAGAGAAAGACAAATACCATATGATTTCATTTATATGTGGAATCTAAAATACAGCAAAATGAATGTATTTGCAAAACAGAAAGAGACAAATAGACATAGAAAACAAACATGATAATCAAAGAGGAAAGGGGATGGGGGATAAATTAGGAGTTTGGGATTAGCAGATACCAACTACTACATATAAAATAGATAAACAACAAAGCTTTATAGCACAGAGGACTATATTCAATATCCTATAATAAACCATAATGGGAAAGAATATGAAAAAGAATGTAGAGATATTTGTATAACTAAATCACTTTGCTGTACACCAGAACCTAACACAACACTGTAAATCAAATTACACTCCAATTTTAAAAAATAATAAAGAGAGAAAAAAAATTAAAAAGCTCCAGTTCAGATCTCAGTTTCCAAATTGAAAGATATGAAGTAAAAGACTCTTGAGAGTCCCTTGAACTGCAAGGGGATCAAACCAGTCAATACTAAAGGAATCAGTCCTGAATATTCATTGGAAGGACTGATGCTGAAGCTTCAATACTCTGGCCATCTGATGCAAAAAACTGACTCATTAAAAAAGACCCTGATGCTGGGAAAGATTCAAGGCAGGAGGAGAAGGAGACGACAGAGGATGGAGTGGTTGGATGGCATCACCAACTCGATTGACATGAGTTTGAGCAAACTCCAGGAGTTGATGATGGATAGGGAGGCCCAGTGTGCTGCAGTCTATAGGGTTGCAAAGAGTCAGGCACGACTGAACAACTAAACTGACTGACTGATGAAGTAAAAGGAACGTATGTGTATTTTATAAAATACGTAAAACATAGAAAAATGAAGTCTGAGCCAATCAAGGTAATACAACAATATTTAACTTAAACATGGGAAAAGGAACATTTCTAATTAAAATCTATATCTAACACTGTACAGTTGACCCTTGAATAATATGCAGATTAATCCCAGTGTAATTTATAGTTGGCCCTCCATATCCATGGTTCCTCCACATCCGCAAACTCAACCAACTAGGGGCTATGTAGTACTGCTGTATTTACTATTGAAAAACACATATAAGTGGTCCCACGCAGTTCAAACCCATGTTGTTCAAGGATTAACTGCATTTACCTATGGAATTTTTAGAAAGATTATTTTTTGTACCTGTCTGACAAAGATTTGCATGAACAGGCCACAGACTCTTCTTTTCGTGTCTATGCCACATGATATTTGGATATGCAAACAGAAAAAAGACTAAAGATACGCCTCTCAAAACCACGAGAGAATCAAGTTAGGTGTAAATCTGTCAAATGTGGGAAGTAATCACCATCACCTCACACTGAGAGCACTGTACAGGGCTGGAGTCAGTGCCCCTGGACAATGGCGCGGTGACCAACAGGCCAGCGGGAAAGAGACACCGAACGTCTCAACACCACAGAGTTCACTGTCACAGTATCTGATCACAAACAGCCCCTGCAGGCCTACTCGGAAATATGCTTCTCGAGACCCGAGTCCAGTCTACGGGAAGTGTGGTAAGGACACAGCGCACACTTACCTCACCAGCGCATCCGGCTTGCTTAGCTGGTTATTAGGGATGCAGTTCTCCATTAGGTCCTTGTGAGCGCTCGGGCTCTTGCTGGCACATTTCTGCTTCTTCTCATTTTTACTAGATGAGGAAGGGATGCTCCCGTTTGTGGCGCTGTGACTTCGAGGTGAGGAGTTCACAACTCCACTGGCGTTTTTGTAGTTTTTTGAGGAAGCAGTGCATGAGTCCTCTTTCAAGAGATTTTCTGTACTTCCCACAAGATCATTATTTAATCTTTTACTATTGATATGGTTTTCCATATACTCAATTTCTTGTATTTTAGAGTCTACAGGTTGTAAAATATTGTTGTTATTTATTCCAAGGTTGTGTTTTTTGGCATCTTTGTCTTTTTCTTTCCCTTTTTCTCGGTATTCTATCTCTGGCAAAGTTGTAGAGAGTTTTTTGTTGGCTGGGATACCTCCATTGTGGTGTATGAGGATTGAGGAATCCATATCAGGTAATCCTTTGGCTGCTACAATACCAATAACAAACCAACAAGCAAAAAAAAAAAACAAACAACCCACACTGGAATATTTAGTTGTAAAAAAACAAAATGGATTGATTCAACAAACTGTGTCATCTACACTTCGAAACACACTACATTAAGTTGCAAACTCATTCAGAAGCAATAACCATACCACATTATGCTAACTTCGAAAGCAAAGCCAAAAAAATTTGAGAAGCTGCACATCTAGAAAATCACCATCATTTCTAAACACCAAGTCATTAAAGTTCTGACCTTGAAAAGAATATGAGGATTTTACAATTAAGTTATACCTCATTTATCAGTCAAATCAAACTTGTCTATCACTGGGGTGACAGGACATAGGCAGATCATAATCTTAAAAGGCCACATTTAAAAAGATGCTTGGATTAAGCAAATTTAATAACTTTACTGAAAAGAAAGATTAAATGAAACAAACAGGTGTGATGTTAGCATACAGAGCACCTATGTTTTGTCTTGCCTCTATTGTTAAAGTAATAAGTCTGTTATCATTTACTAGGACGCTTTACAATCAATTTTCCGTATAGGTCTACATATTCAAACTCGACAAAGTGTATTTGAAGAGATAATTTTGCACCACACCAGAGAACAAAATTTTGTCATGTTATCAACTAAAAACAAAAACCAAAGAAAACTGGTATTGCTGTCTCTTTACTTATTGAATTGGTTACATATTCATGAGAGAGGTTGTATTAATAAAAGGTCATTTTAAGATCCATGCTGCATTATACAAACCATTTAAAATAAAACCTAGCCATGGTTGCTCTATTTAGAAGAATTCTGATTTGTAAAACAATTTTGTGTTTACTTCTCTATCTGGCTTATACTTGGCTTGCTTCAATTACAAATGCACATAGTTACATATACTACTGTCACTGAGAATAAATATTTTAAAATCTTCATAACAAAATATTAAAATAGAAAATAAACTATAAAAGGAAATGAAATAAATTTTAAAAATAAACATATTTAAAAGCACATGGTCTTAAGACACTAGGCAGAAAACATCATACATATTCTGTATTTCATGACCAAGTAAAGTAAGAGTCCTAAAGAGGAACACCAGAAAACACAAAAAGCCATGGTAATTTTCCAAAGCCCTAGCAACTTTTCTGAAAAAATACTACTGACAAACAAACAAATAACTAACCTATTGAGCCAACAGCTTTAGAGTAAAGACCTACCTTCCTCAGCCTCTTTTTCTTGCTTCTGCAGCATCTGTTGCTCTGGAGGGAGGGCTTGTTGAAGAAGCTGCATGTAAAATTCGTTCTCTTTTTGCACTTCTTTTTGCTTCCTCAACCGCATTTTGTAGCTTACATAACTTTTGAAGCCAAAGCCCAAAGTCACCACAGGGTATCCAATACTACAAAGAAGAAAGTTCTGCTAGTAAATGTAAATTAAGAAAACAAGCAACACATGCATCAAGCACATGAGGACCCTATGGTTGATTCATCACCATAGATGATGATAAGAGCTGAGCATTCAGTAAACACAAATAAATATGGCTGTTGTGGAAATCAGGCAGCTAGCATGCAGAACAAATTCCTGTGGAACAGCAGGACCGTTGGACCATAAGAAGCTGCCCATTAGGCCCTGGCAATCTTTCAAATACACTCAGGAAGTTACCACAGGGACTGTTGGATACAGTGGCTAAAGTCTTTGATTAACATGGAACCTGCCTCATGCATGGTTAGGACTTAGGGATCTGTATGTTTTTAAAAACTAAAAAGGTAGAGATTTTATGAGTGGTCATAAGGAAACATTGCAAGCATTAAAATCAAACACATCATTTGGTTTTCAATACTAGAAGGCAGGGTCAAATTTAGGTGACTCATCTTCTTGCTGCCTGAGAAATGCCTGTCACCAGCTATTCCTGGAAAATTAGTTCATAAACACTCTATCAAACATAAATTAAGAATCATTTAACCAAGTATCTGATATTATCAGAGCCAACATTTGTTTTGCACCAACAAATTAAACCAGCTGTACTTACAACTCTAATCTCTGGGACAAAAATCTGAAATATTTTCATTCAAGCCATCAGTCTAATATTGTTTCAAAGCCTCTGAAAACACAGTCTGTCAAAACTTTTCTTAAGCTTCATTAATGCTGTTGTTTAGTCGCTATGTCATGTCCGACTCTTTTGCAACCCCACAGACTATATAGCCTGCCAGGCTCCTCTGTCCATGGGATTTCCCAAGCAAGAATACTGGAGTGGGTTGCCATTTTCTTCTCCAGAGGATCTTCCCAACCAGGGATCGAACCTGTGTCTCCTGCATCCCCTGCATTGCAAGAGGATTCTTTACCGCCACCAGGGAAGTCTCATTAACATTAAAACTTATAATTTATCAATTATAATTAGTCTAAATGTGATCACACCACAAATTTATAGTGACAAGTTTATTGACCAACTCTATTTAATTCACTTGTTTGTGAAGATTTTAAACATATTGGTAACTATTTTTTGGTTGTTGATTCTTATTTGTTTTGGTTTCTGCCATAAATATTAGCAAAAATTGGTATATTTGAAAGAAACATAAGTGGTAATTTCTATAATAGATATAAACAAAAATCAAGCTTGTTTTAAAAAATGTTTCATGGTTTAAGGTTAAAAATAATAGTCCTTAAAAATTATTAATAATATTCTCTTGCTTTTGTAAACATGCAAAGGAAATTTTAAAATCATTTAAGCTCCATGAAATAGTCATATATTTCACCAAGACTTTTTGGAATCATCATCTGATTATAATAAAAACAGATAACAAGTATCAGACACCTATGTACATGGACCTAATTAAACACTTTACATATATCACTTCGTTTCATCTTTCCCATGACATCCCATGAGACAGCTTCCCAATATATAGGTAAGAGAACTAAGGCTTAGAGAGGGTGACATGTCCAAAGCACAAAGCTGTTAGGGGGCACAGCTGGGATTCAAACACTCATCTCCCTGACTAGAGGGCTCATGTTCTTTACCACACCATGTTATGTTGTCTTCTGAATTCGTATATCTCTAAGAAAAAATTTACAATTAAATTTACCATTCTACATTGAAAACACTGAACAGGATTACAGATTAAGAATATACATAATACTCACCAGTGAGCAGCAAATGGGCGACAAAGGTCTACATGAAAATTTTTTAGATCTTTAAATCTAATTGCTGCTTCAATATAAACAAAGAGTATCCAGAGGGATACTGTGGGCAAACACACTCCCCTTTCTGTGGGAAAGCAGCAGAGAGACAAGCATCAATGAAACATTAACTAATATAACAGATGGATTGTTTGGGAGACTGGTTCAACAACAGTAACTTTAAGATTTTGAAACTAATTAAAAAGCAATTTGATCCAAATTGAAAGCTTTCATATGACAAAACATGCTATGGAATCACAGACAAAAATAAAAAATAGTATTCTGGCAGAAAATATTTACAACATATGTAAAACAAAGAAATCATAGCCCGAGCATGCAAAGATGTCCTACAAATCAATAAAAAAGGCAACTGGAAGAAAAAAAATTGGAAGTTATAAAAGAAAAAAAAGTGTGTGCGTGCGTGCGCGCGCGCTCAGTGACTCAGTTATAGACAGTTTAAAAACATGCGGAAAGATGTCAACTTCCCTACTGCTTAGGGAGGTAAAAATTTTTAAATGAGACTCGATTATTTTAACCTATCAGATAAAGCCAAAATTTTAAAGATGGGTAATAGTACAGGGAAAATGTGTGAACGGCTTCCCTCTCATTCTTAGCAAGAATATAAATTGGGGTAACTTTGTTATAAGGCAATTTGGCAGTATAATTAAAAATATTTATACCTTTGACCCAGAAATTCCAATTCGAGGAATCTACCCTATAGACATATAAAAGAGCCCTGGAATAAATGTATAAGAATGTTCATACAATATTGTAAAGTAATTAGCCTCCAACTAATAAAAAAAAAAAAGAATCTTCAATGTATTATTTGCAATAGCGAAAACTAGAATTTACCTATCAATAGGAACTGCTGAATTATAATAAATCTATATAATGAAATATGATGCAACTTTTCAAAAGGATGAAGACCTGTATTACTATAGAATGATATGTAAAAAAAAAAAAAACAATTTTTAAAGACAAAATTTTAAAATCATTTAAGCTTAATTAAATTAAAATTAAATTAAATTAAATTTTAAAGACAAAAACAAAGAATGAATTACAGCACTAAGAAATGTTTCTGACATTCAAGTATTATTCAAAAAAGTTTTCTTAACTACAAGCTCATATTCCTTTTGTAATTAAAAACAATTTTCAACAGATGAAAAAGCAATTTGCAATAGAATAAACAAGACTCAAATAATCAGATAATTTTCACTAGGTTTTAGAGTCAAAGTTTGTAGGCTAGGTCCATCCATGTGAGGACATGACTAATAAGGGGGTATTTTATGAAGATGGAACACAAAGACATGAGAGCTATAACTCTGGAAATATCCCCTTTGAGAGTGTATAAAGCAAGCCAGTTACAGAAGAGACAAATGGAAGGAAAACTCAGTGACCTGAAGGACTAGAAGGTGTTTTTCTAAGACTCTTTGGAAAGGATGAAACAGAAGAAAAATTACAGAATCTTGGGACTAGAAAAACTAGTCCCAAAGATTAGTCCCACTTAGTCCAACTTCCTCATTTTATGGAAGAGCAAAGTGAGGCCCAGAGTTTATATAAATTGTGTCCAAATTCACAGAAACAATACTGAATCTGCTTCTAAGGAGAATTCAAGTCCCCAAAGACCTAGTCCATAAGATAAGACAGGCAAAGTCCTGTGAAAACAGCTAATGGCTTCAACCATTCTTATAGATTTAATAAACCAAAAAAGGGTATTTTTGCAAGGTAGGAAGACAAAAGGCAATCCTTAGGATTATCCATTTTCAAATTCATTTCAAAATACATTTCAAAAAATCTACATTCTGTAAATATCTAATTTCTATATTAAAATCTAAAGCTATCATAAACAAAATAAGCATATTACAGGAAAAAATAGAAAAATTTGGGCAAATTACTCATATTCCTACATCTAAATAAATAAAACCACACTGAAAATATTTTTGAACTAGTTTAATAGTTCAATAGTTTAATGTTGTACATACAGTTTTATACCCTGTTTTCTCCCTCTTAACAAGGAAAAAATTAATGACATAATATTTTCATGCTCCTGTGGCAATATATATAGTTTCATCAACCGTTCCTAACATTCTTTTTAAAAATGTTAAATTTTAACAACAAAAGAGAAATTGATCCCAACCTATAAAAATTGCACTCATATTTACTGGGCCTAATAAGAACACAGGGTTTGTTCTGTTTGCTCACTAACCACTCCGAATTAAAATGCATTTCATAACTTAGGTATTTCAACATGCATTTCTGAGCCTAGAGCTAAAGAGAGACCAATATCATTTATTACATTAGCTTCATTGCTGCCGTGTGGGTCACCCACTGAATTCCAATTCTATTAATAGTTACATGAGCAGCTTTTTCTCAACTAATAAGACACTATTAAAGCAACTTAGAAAATCATTATAGTTCATCAGAGTCACAGATTATCTGAGCAGGAAGGTTCCTTTAATTATTATCTAGATCACTCCACCCTCATATGACAGAAAAAAAGCTGAGACCTAGAGAGAATAAGTGTAAATGGCAACTCACTCAAAACTGAGGCCCAGGACAAGAAAAAACAAGTAAAACCTGGTATATAGAAAAATCACTTTAACTAGAGGAAAGCAGACTAAGGAAGAAGCATGCTAGCTTATAAATTCAGTCAGATATGAGAGAGTGCTAAAGATGGAGAAAACCATGCTCACAGCAGATACTTTAAAAATACAGCTGAACTGTGTCTCCTAACATGGGACAACATCATCCTTCCAGCATTTAGAGATGAGGATGAATGCTGCTCCAGAGAGATTTTATTAGCTGGTGCTCTTTCAATGGTCAAAATGCTACAGGTTACAGCTGGGCCTAGGAATCAAGTTTCACGCAGCTTTCGCAGAGAAGTGCGACATCCCCACATGTCTGTGAGCCAATCCTCACATCCCCATGTGTCCTATGTGCAGGCTTCGTAGTGGACTGGAGTTATTAAAACATCTCATCTCATCTTAGTTTGTAATAGCATAAGAATAGCTCTAAGAAGAAGGGAGGTGACTATGTAGTTTCACTCAAGCCAGAACATCCCTGATGTACACTGTGGTTTAAAGAGCCACTAAGAACCAGGGAGACCAAAATGGTGAAAGCGCTTAAAATGACGTACAAGGGAAAGCTGATGAAATCAGGGACGCTTTGTGTACAGAGAAGAACATGAGAGGATATGACAGTGTGTTTTAGTCTAAAGAAATGTTAACATGGACGGAAGAGTACACCTATTCAGTGTGGCTCTGAATTAGACACAGGGGTCTAATGTTTGGATTAGAGAGATGGTCTGTAAGCCTGCTCAAATTGAAAAAAAATATATTCTGTATATTCCCATATATTTTTCTGGAGAAAGCACTTTATCAACTCGAAGTGATCAGTGTACCCCAAGACAGTCAAGATATTCTGGGTCAAAAGTGTAAGGAGGAAAATTCTGGCTCAGTATGAGGAAGAATTTTCTATTCCAATTGCCCCAAAACAACACTAGTAAGTTTCTTGCATTGTAGATTTTCAATCAGAGATTAAAACACCATGTGCCAGCAATGCTGTGGGGATTCTTATACTAAGTAAAGGTTCAACTAAATGACTTCTGACATTCCTTTCAACGCTAAAGCTGCAGGAACATTTTTCTTATTTGGCACATGGCTGTCTTCAAGTCTACCTAAATATTAATTGCTTCAATTTTTTAAAAAATATGGATACTTCATAATGAGAGTTGGTAACTGAAATGACTATAATCAAAATATCAAATCATAAAGGCTTAAACTTTTGATTTAATAAAAAAGAAATATACTTTAAAGGTATACTATAATCTCGTATGAAAAGGAATCTTTAAAATGTCCACATTAAACTCAATTCTAAATAATCTATTCAAGGAAATCACATTTGAGAAGTGTGAATCTAAGATTTCGATCCATCTAAGAAACCATTAAGACTTACCTGTGTGCCATACGTATTGAACCCACACATATGTACTAGCAGCAAAAAAAAGCCATTGAATGGGGATAAATAGCAGACATATTATATTTGACGTGAATGCTACACAAACAAAAAATACTGAGAAGGCCTAAAGGGAAAGACAAAATAAAAAGCACATATTAGAAGTGTTCATTTCAAACAGAGCACGTTGAACAAAATCTCTGAAGCTGCTACGCAATAACTACAGAGCAAGTTACAGGAAATTTTAAATATTTAAAATCACCCATATAAAAAGATGTGGTTAATTTAGCATTGAAGAGTAATCCTATTTATGGCCTCAAATCATGAAGAATTGGACCAGAACAAATTGAGGTTGATTCACAGTGAGTTTATTTGGACTACACAGGTGGGTTACCTAAAAGAAACAGAATTTAACACAGAAAATTCTCCTCTCTCCTCATAAAACATTACTAAATAGGCTCATTCTTAAAGGATAGGCTGTTGGAACACAGATGAAACACAACTGTGGTTAAGAATAGCACAGATGTCCAACAATGCAGCTTCCTCTGGATACAGCATTATCTATTGCTAACAGGACACGAGCCCAAAACCATCTTTTCAAGGCATGGATTTGCTCTGACCAGAGTACCAGGCCTGGGGAGAAGAGTTACAGGTTTAACATGTGACTCTGGAACACAACAGAACTACAGGTCAATCAAGGGAGCAAGTCAAGGGCCTGTGCCCTTGCTCTAACCCAGCAGTTCTCAAAACATGGTCTGGGGATCCCTGGGGATTTTTGAGATCCTTTCAGAAGTCTTCCAAATAAAATAATTTCATAATAATACTAAGGCATTATCTCTTTCACACTCATTTACTCAGGAGTATGGTGGTGTCTTCTAGAATCCATGACATTGATATTCACTGATTAAAATCATTGACTACATGATACATGATTGGCAATAACTGAGTTTAGAAGTAGATATGAAAATCAGTTGTCTTCTATTAAGCCAAACATTAGAGAGGTTTTCAAAAATGTAGTCAAATCTTTTAATTTCTTTTCTGTTTTGGAATATACAGTTAGTTTTCATTTTAAAATTTAATGTGTATTAACATGTATTAACATGTGTATTAACATGTAATGGGTTTATTATTATTTTAAGTGACTGAAGTATTAACTTTTTATTTTAAATTAAAATTTTATTTAAAAATTTTATTTAAATTAAATAAGCATCAAAGTTTTTTCAGATTTCATTTCTAATATAGTAAATATGGATAAATGTCACCCACACAAATGAAAGACTTCTGGAGTCCTCCATAGATGTTAAGAGTGTCAATGGTCCCGAGCACAAAAAGTTTGAGAACCACTGTTCTAACTCTAACCCGATCACTGAGCCAGAGGCTCCAGAGGTACTTCAGAGTAGGGCTGGGTAGGTAATTACTGCTTCCCCTGCTACTCTGCCTCTCCCTCCTGAAAGCCTCCCTCCCTCCCCTTCTTTTCACTGGAATGGGAGAGGAGGAGGGAGTTTAATGATTTGATCAGTGGATTTAGACAAAGTGGCCTGAAAGGGCAGTTTCAGCCCATAGACTCTGTTAGCTCAATACAGTCACCTAAGTATTGCTAATAAAACCAACTTTATAAACAGTTTCACTAGCAGTTATTGAAGACTTTCTGAGAAGGGTAATTAAATCCTTTATACTTGAAAAACATGTATCAATAAACATACCAGTCCCTGGTATCTGAAGGAATCATAGACGCTTCTGATGAAAAGCCAAAATGGCCATAGGTACTCAAATCTGAATTCAAGGACAAAATCTGCCAGGAGGACAAGTGCCCACACCACCAGGAACTTCAGGTATAAAAATGTACTGCAAAATATGAAAATAAAGAATTTAAGGTCACTGGTGAAGAACTAGAAAATGAAAATGCACTACTTTATTTAAAAGAGAAAAAATATCTTTCTATACTATGAAAACAATGGAGATAAAAGACAAAAAGAGAAGGTGCCATGGCCCATGTAAATTTTAAAAGCTCTGGTGTTCATTCTGAGACCCACAACTATCAAAATAAGATGATGACCCAAAATGCTTAATTCCATTTAAGATGGAAAAAGCCCATTTAAATTTCACCACTATTTTAAAATGTGCTAAGTGTCTGACTTCAAAACACTGCAACACTCTCAAAATTACAGCTTTCAAGCTGTTCGTCATTAGAAGAAATGTCATGGTTGAGCAGCTTCAAATTTGCTGTTTCCCCACCCCTCTACATCTGTTTGAAGTCTTTGAAATTCTTGATGCACATCCCTACATGCTTGAAGAATTCTTTCTTCCCCCTCTTTCTCCTCTTACTTCTCTCTGTAGTATTCACCTGCATTAACCAAACAAAAACCAAATAACTTCCCCAAATAGACAGATATTAACTTAGGGAGCAGATGCCAATCACTTCTAAGGGCTATGGAGGGTATCAAAATGTACATTAAAGGAAAAACCTTTAAGGATCCCAGCATTGCCCTAGCTGAGATGCTAATGTGTCCTCCTACTTCCCTTTGGACTTTTGTGAAGTAGGAACATACTTTGATAAGCCAGTCAGAACGCATTTCTAACCATTGTACAATCTCAAAGCAGAGTGAGGACCTGGATTAAAAAAAAAAAAACACAGTTTTCATATAATCTAAAAACCCATTCTTTGAATTCATTAGTTGTATTAAAGATAATGGAGCTTTCAAACTCTGCCTATTAATAAGTCTCTAAGGTCTTTAAGTCTAAGGTCTTTAGTTTGATCAGTTCTAGAGCAGGTTAAATATAGGTATTTTAAACAAAGATTTTCCAAGATATTCAGGTTGGAAATGCCTAAATTCGCTTTGACATGGGGTATAGCTTTGCATGGTGTTCTGCAACAGAAACATTCCAATATTGTGGTGATTAAATCAGTTGTTTGAATATACACCATGAACAATAAATCAAGACTTCTAATAAATAATTTTAAAATATATTAAAATAAGGTACAAAAAGACTTATATTCTTGGGAGTAACATTAATAAAGCAGGATCCAGCATAGAGAATTCTTTTGATGCCCTATAGAGCCACACAGGAAAAGAGTATCAGAAACAGACACAAATGACCCTTAATGTTATACAGTGGGGTTCCCTGGTGGCTAAGACAATAGAGTCTGTCTGCAATCTGGGAGATGTGGGTTCGACCCCTGGGTTATAGTATCATGAGGATACATAATTTGCAACTAGAGTCAATTTCTAATACCGATTCTTGGTAGAACTTTAGGCATGACAGTAAGTTCTGATGAAGAGGTCTGCTGTAGAATCAAGGAACCCAAGGCAAACTAGAACACAGGTTTGAATCTTAAGTCCAACTTTTACTTTCATTTCACTGGAGTCATGTTAGCCAGATAAGAACAGAGCTCTCATCCTCACTCATTAAACCCACTGCTGATCCAGTGAAGAGCAAGGCATAGTTTGTTAGAAGGAATAACTGAGTCATGCGGGCATTCAGGAGCACAGATCTAGTCTGAAACTAGATTTCCAAGTTTGGCTTTAAAACTAAGTGGCTTTTTCCTTGTAGCTGAATAAGATATGGTGGGCACCTCCTTAGGCTAGTTGTCACTATTCCCCAGGTGGAGAACGTAAGAGTTCTACGGACTGCTCTCTGCCCGAAATGCTCCCAAGCATGGCAGGAGCCAGGTCTAGCTGGCAACATTGCATTTCACTGTTTAGACAGTGTTATGGAGAAGTAAATGGCTACCACTCCAGTATTCTTGCCTGGAAAATTCCATGGGCAGAAGAACCTGGCGGGCTATATAGTCCATGGGGTTACAAAGAGTCAGACATGACTTAGCAATTAAACAACAACAAATCTTAAGAATGGCAACCTGTTGAATATTTTTTAATAACTCAATCATTTAAACCTATAAGGATTTACAAAAATGATTATCTTTGTTAGAGTGACTACTCATTTTCAATTCTGTAACTCAAGGGGGTTCCTTTTGGTTTATTTCATTTCTTTTCAAACCACTGCTTTCATAACTCCCATGTTCCCTGATACTCAGTTCTTATGGAGTCACGTTTAGAAGTATACATATTGAAGGAAACTTGATCTTTCACAAACATGTGCTATACCCTCAGGTTCCCCCTTCTAGGTGGGCCTACCTCTAAAATCAAGAGGCAATCTTAACAGCTGATTTTACTCCAGGAGTAGTTTCAAACTTTATAGATTCAATCTAATAGAGTTTTAGAATGTTTAAGACAGTTGCCTAATTCAGTATTCACTGAGCCTTCTACATCAGTAAATTATGCCTATTAACCTTCTATAGGTACAGGTACAAAAGTTAAAAGAAATTTAAAATGACTGCTCATCAGTGTAGAAAATCTGACTAACTCCTTTCCTCCCATACTCTGAAGGTCATAAGGTCTTGACAAATCCAAAGAGATGACACTCTAGAGGGGAGAAAACTTTAGACAGGGTTTAGGCTTCCCTGGTGGCTCAGAGTGTAAAGAGTCTGCCTGCAGCGCGGGAGACCAGGCTTCGCCGATCCCTCGGTTGGAAAGGTCCCCTGGAGAAGGAAATGGCAACTCACTCCAGTATTCTTGCCTGGAAAATCCCATGGATGGAGAAGCCTGGCAGGGTCGCAAAGAGTCAGACACGACTTCACTTTCACTTTCACTCCACTTTAAACATTATAACATTCCAAAATATTTCTATTAAATCATGAAAAAATATGCTATACTTAATCATATTTTTTCTTGATTTAATAGTTCATAATATGACTTATGGCTAACCTGTTACTTTAATTCTCCAATTCAAACAAATTTACTAATTACTGTAAACTATCCTGAACAAAAATTTAAAGCATAACTGCAACAAAAAGATACTTTCCATAATAATATCCTGAAATAAAGGAAGACCAACAATGTATTTTGATAGTCTGATAACTTCTACTCTGGGTGCCAGTGAAATACAGAAGAGATATGCAAATATTAGGCTTACTGTTGGTGACCTTTTCACAGTGGATATTAACCATAAGATTGGTTTTTCTCCCCATTCTATTCCTACCCTTGCCACTTATAACCATTTTTTAAAATTGAATCTATTTAGAAATATGGCCATCTATGGATTAATCACTTATGATTAATGAGAGATAGTACTGAACATTCTCCCCCCCCCAACCAAAAGTGCAGAAAGTGCTTTGTCTCTAGTATCTCTTGCAGCTTGTCACTTAGATCATTTTCTGGAGTCACATAATTAATTACCATAGGGTGGCCATAAATCCTCAGTACCTGACCTTTTCCCTAGGCAGACTAATGGCCATTTAGTTCACTTGGTCCTCACCACAGAAATGAGTCTGTGAAATATTTCTCTGGCTGTGTTTAAAGTGAAAAGTGAAGTGAAAGTCACTCAGTTGTGTCCAACTCTGCGACCCCATGGATTATATAGCCTGCCAGGCTCCTCTGTTCATGGAATTCTCCAGGCCAGAATACAGGGGTGGGTAGCCGTTCCCTTCTCCAGTGGATCTTCCCAACCCAGGGATCGAACCCAGGTCTCCTGAATTGCAGGTGGATTCTTTACCGTGAGTCACCAGGGAAGCCCCTCTGGCTGTGCTAGTAATCATCTATTGCAATGCCCAGCTTTGCTGTCCTCTCCGTAATAGCAACTGTGAATCCCTTTTGCCTTTTATTATGTAGCATGATACTTCTTGAACCAAATTGCTTTGTCTTCTACTGTTATCAAATACTTCTTCCTATTGGACATCACCTCTAGAATATTTGCCCAGCCTCTTGTTCAGCTGGTATCCTGCTAAAAGTCTTATTATACGTAATTGTAGTCTTGCTACTCAAAGTGTGGTCTGTGGACCAGCAGCATCAGCATCATGTATGAGCTTTTCAGAAAAGCAGTACTTCTGGGCCCACCCCTTATTCAGTCTAATCTTATGTTTTAACCAGATCCCTAGACTCTTTGTGCATACATTAAAATTTGAGAAGAGTACTATCTTCTGTATAAACGTCTCACAGTCAAAAGACTTCCACTGAATTCCACAATGTCTCAGAAAGAAGACAACGATCTACTCAGATAATCAGTACTTATCTCTGAACTGTTAGCTGTCCATCCCTCAACTGGGAACATTCAAACTGTTCAGGGTCAATTTTTCTACATTTCTTTCTCAGTCACAGATAAGATCCTTAAAGAAATACAACTTAAACTAAATGAAACACTTCCAATACTACTTATCCTTCAGCATGCAGCATGACCATTTATTCAAAAAAGGCCTCCTTGACCCACAGTAAAGACTGGTACCCCATTATATGCTCAGAGTATCCTGTACCGTAAGAATCATATTATAGTTAAATAACATTTTGTATGACTCTTTAAATGCAAAGTCCATGAGAACAAAGGAGCTGCCCATTTTGTTCCCTGCTTTATTCTCAATGCCCAGCACAGAACCTTGAACACCAGAGAAACTTAACAAATATTTGTTGAATGAATGACCTGCCACGCATAAGAGTGTTTAGGACCGACAGTGGAGCTTTTATCAAAGCACATACTCACAATAAAGGGAGGAGAGCTGATGCACAGACGACCAGGAAGGGGGTCTGAACAACGAACAGCAGTGAAGGCGACAAACCCACCTCTTTCTGAAGGATCACCATGCGCCTGCTCCGAGTCTGTTCTCGCCGGTTTTCCCGCAAGGAAAAGAGGCATCTTATCAGCTTTGCTCTGGATGCCAGATCATTACTCCATTTAGCCTAGCTGACACTGGCTCTGACTGCTGTGTGGGTCAGCAAGGTTATCCTCTATTAAGTCTAATATTAAACAAATCTGTAAAAATGTAAAAGCATACCACTCTTCTCATGGATTTATTA